TTCCTTTTTAGGTGGCATCCTCCGCGCCGCCCTCAGGAGGACTGGGTAGGAACGAGGGAGGAAAAGAGTAAATTTGCGGCATTTTTCCCCATTCAGGGAGAATGCTTTGTTCTTTGTTCTTTTTTTTTCTTCTCTGGAGGGGGCAGGTGAGCTGAGGAGGAGGAAGTGGGATGCCATTGCATCAGTCAGCTGTATTTACGCACGCCAGTCATGTTTTGTTATTGTGGGTCTTAGTTTTCTCCTGTTCTTCTTTGAGCTGTTATTATTATTGTTTTAGTTGCCTTTGCCACAAGCGCGCCCGTGCGTCTCCGCTTTGCAGCGCTCAGAAGGAGTACCGGCAGCGAGACTAGTTGTACATACGTCTGCAGCAGCGAGGGGAGGGGACTGTAAGCGAAAGAGAAGCAGAGCGTGTTTCGCGCCCCCATTTCTTGCCCTATACCTCTGCCGCCATTCATAACGGGCGAAGAGGGAGTGCACAACGGCGCGCCGTGAAACTAAACGACGTTAACAGGACGAGGAAAGGGGGGAGAAGGAACGAAAAAGAAAGAGAACGGAAAAACAACAAGCAAAAACAAAAAAAAGGAAACGCGACGACGAGGAGTAAATAAATTCAACGAAAGGAGAAGGCAGGAGCAATCGGTACGCGTTGTCCTTTATTAGGAAGAAAAATTAGATTACTCTATACGCCCACTGTGTAGGACAAAAGTCGGTTAAATGTTGCGCGCCTTTTCTGGCAGCTGCCTCTCCCTAGAGGACATGAAGACTGTGCGTCGTCCGAACTTAGTAAAACGGCCGCACCTATTGGGCCCTGGTGTTGATTTTTTCACCGAAGATGGCCAGCCTGTACGCCCTCAGCCCGGTGCACACACTCTTCAGAAGGTCTTTTCTGGCAGCGCTTTGGATCTGAACGCAGTGAATGGTGACGTTCTCTCCGAGGAGGAGGCGCCCCAGACGAATAATATGCAACAGCATCTGCGGCAGCAGTACGTGTCGCCTGGGGCGACAGTATCGACGATTCTTCATCAATTGTCCACGGAAACAGAGAAGGAGCGGGCCAAGAGTTCAAAAAATAAGACAAATGTCTTGGTTATTGGGGGGATTGGGTATATATCCAGTCATGTTGTGGCAAAGCTCCTTGACGCAGGTTACACGGTTCGTGTAACAGTGGCCGATGCACTAAGCGAACAACAACAAATGGATTTTTACTCCATGGACCGTGGTCCGGAACGTCGGTTGACCATCTTGGAAGCGGACATGACCAACGCAGCCACCTTCCGTGATGCCATGCGTGGGTGCAAGTATGTTATCCATTGTGGCTGCCCCACAACCCCCGGTGACAAGGATCCGGTGGCCTTTCACACAAGTGCCATTCGCGCCCTTTTTGACGCTATCCGATCCACAGGGAAGTCTACAGTGAAGCGAGTTTTAATTACGGGAGCATCATCCTCGGTGTTTCACATCACGGATCCATATCCTCCCTCTGGTGCCTTTGACGAATCCTGTTGGAATACAGTAGCTAATGCTGCGACGGATCCCATTCCATATGCACGAATTTGCTTTGAAAAGGAGGCTTGGAGGATGAAGCAAATGATTGGTGTGGAATTAGTAGTAATACTACCCTCCATCACCATTGGACCAAGTCGTACGGAGGAAATTAGTAACGCCATGATGCAAATTCAAGAGTTAGCCAATGCGTCTCCCTACTTCCCGTATGCCGCCAACTTGTACTGGAATTACGTGGACGTGCGTGACGTTGCTGAGGCGCATGTACGAGCACTGGAATGCCAAGAAGTTAAAGACCAACGTGTTATAGTGTCCAACGGCTGTTTTAGTTACGCTGAAATTGCACAGATGATTAAGGAAGCGTACCCACACCTGACGCCTCCTACACGTACCGCAAATACGTTGATGACGCTCCTCATTGGTGCCACGCAATCGCAAGTAAAGATGGGATTTCTTTGGCGCTTTGTAGGTGTTCGAAAGTGTCTGCAAACGCGCAGAGCGATGGTGGATTTGGACATGACCTTTACCCCTATGAAGGAGACGATCCAGGTGTGCATTGAACAACTGATTCGCGCAGGTGAGGTTCCTGCACCAAATGCTCCGCGTTCGATGAGCACTGGCAAACTCGTTGCCGTGACCACAGTGACAAGCCTGCTTCTCACCGCTGCTGTAGCGGTGGTATGGGGTGTAGCGCGGACGAGGAGGAGGCAAAATTGACGCCGCGCGTTGACATTTATTTTATGCTGACACAGTTTCCACACATTCTCCTTTTTTTTTGTGGACACAGTTGTTGTTGTTTCTCCCTTTCCGTTACTTTGTTTTTGTTTGTTTTTGTTTTGTTTTGTAAATCCGTCGTCGTTGTGTTTTTTCTTGTTGTTATAGTTGATGCGTGCTTTTACGGGTCTAGAGTTTTACAGCGAGCTAAAACTTTATTTATTTGCTCCTTTGCTGGGCTTTGACGGCGTGGTGTTGCCCCCTCCCCCTCCCGCCATGCAGTGCGTGATGCCAGCGTAGTAAGCCCTGTGTGACTCCTTCGCGTTCTTCCGCAGTCTTCGTGCGTGTGGCGGCGGTGAGGCAACTGCTTTGCTGCGTGGCGGCGCTGCGCTGAGGGAAGTTAGAGCAGCGGCGGCAGCAACGCAAAAGGGCGGGGGCGGAAAGGAGACCAACACGCGGAGAAGAAAAGAAATAAGGACGCGCACCGAAAGAGGAAGGAGACCGGGGGTGGAAGAAGGAAATTTTTCCCACAGACGTTAAAAAGAAGGTCCTTGACTATGAGGGAGTGAATCGTTAACGGGGTGCGAGAGGAAAAGAGGAAGAACACGGAGGCAGCGGTGCGTAGGCACACGAAGGTGGGTCAACACAAACCCCAGCACCACTGCAATGGAAAGAGAGCCACGCACCAGAAAAGGAAATAATAAAATAAACGTTAATCTGAGAGACTCGGAGGTAAAAGCCCGAAGGGAAAGCTGGAGAGAGAGAGAGAGAGAGAGAGAAAGAGTGAGAGAGCAGGATTCAAATAAAACAACCGCGACAAGGAATATGTTTTATAAATGCATATACATATATATGCTTGGTAAGGATAACGGTATTGAAGACGGAATATATGTATAAGGATGGGGGCCTGCATTAACGGGCATTGCGCGGGGCATTACAATCTAGCACTAGTGTAGTACTTGTATGAGAGAGAAGGAAACCTTGAAAGGCGGAAAACAAAAAGGAAGGAGAAAAAAAAAAGACCGCGCCACAGCTGTTTATTTTCTTTCCTTTTTTATTGTTGAGATGCGTGCTTTTTCTCCTTACAACCAAACTTATCTTCTCTTGTATGACTTTTTCTCGTGGTTTTTTTGTTGTTGTTGTTGTTTTTTTTTGCACTTGCGTCCAATTATGCTTCCGCACACATTTACGTAATGCACCCATTCATGTATGATAACATAAAGTTACGTGCATGTGCTTGTGGGTGCAATGCATGTGTTTATCACGCGTCTGGCAGCCTCTGTCACTTCCACCTTTTAGTTTTTTTTCCACACTATTGCCCCGTGGTATTATCACTTGCTTCTTGAGGCAACTCTGCGCTTCGCGCGTCAAATAATAATAATAATAATAATCTGTGCGGCGTGAGGAAGCACCGTTCCTTTCCGAGGAAGAGAGGTGTGCGGGAGAGGAGGAGAGAACGGAAGGCATCGAATTGGAGTGAAAAAGGGTGTGTGGTGTGTGCTGTGGTAGCGGCGGGAAAGGGATGAAGAATGAATATTTTTTTTGTACGGAATAAAACCGTAAGGCTGAAGCGGATAACGAAAGGGACCCATAAAAACACACACGTGAAATAGGTTATTCTTCAGAGAGAAGTGCTCAGCGAATTGCTCAATTTCAAAGGTAAACAAACTACTCTAAGATGTTTGCTTGGGGAGTAAAGGCGGCGACATACGCCATTTCTGTCTCCCATTCGTTCGCTCGCCCCCAGCCCTCTGCTCAAGGGGGCCACTGACGCCCTCCACTATGTATGTGTGTGTGTGTGTGTGTGCGGGCGTGCGGGTGTGTTATTTGTCACGGCCACAAAGACTGGTTCAGCTGCTCTTGCGGTTACCGCCACAGGACAAAGTGTTGAAGGATAATTTAAAAGCAAGAGAATAACAAAGTGAGTGGAATGAATTTGTGTGGATTTGTTCCGATTCTTGTGCTCCATTGTTTTTAATTCCTTTTTTTTTACCGCCTTCTTACAAGCTAGTCTGTCGGGTTTTTGCATGTGGGGTGGGATAAAGGTGCGAGCACATCACGGCGATGTCTTCCGTGGATGGAGTGCTAGCCAAGGGCTGGAGAACGTGCGGCGCCAGTTGTACCGAGAGCCTCGGCCGTGGTACCTTGCATGGTCTTTGCACCACCATAAGCATCTCCTGAGCGATTACCACTGCGCTAGGCTGTTAGCATGGTGTACAACTGTCATGGAACTTGAGAAGCGACAGGCGGCAAAGCGTCAGGCATACATGTATGCGCAACAAGTGTTTCAGTTTATGGTGCACAGCCACAAAGTGGGATCGGAGACGTATCAAGAGTTCTTTAGGCTTTGTGCTACGGGACGCGACTTGACAACGGCCTTTCGTTGGCAGCAGTATTTGGTGGAAACGGGGCAGCCATTCCCTCTCTCTCACTATACCTGGCTCTTGCGCATTGCAGTCCTCTCCCCGAACGATGAAAGCGCCGAAGATATGGCGGAGGCAGTGTGGGAGACCTACTTGGCCCGTTACTGTCACTTGGTGAAGCACGAGGTGACAGGTGACACCGCCACCTCGCACTTTCAACCCTCTACAGAAGAAGAATCCCATGAATTGGAGGGACTATTTAGGGCTTTTAAGCAACTTCGCCCCAAAATAGCCCATGGAGCGAAGCCCGAGCTTCTTGACTTCATTGATGGTCTTCCTGACGGCAGCTTGGACGCTGCTACAAGTGATGCCTGGCCGACGGTCAGCCGTCATCATACGTTTCGTCAATTAGAGGCAGGCGTTTCTTGGACTCCCCCAACTTTGTCACATCCACACCTTCGGGATTCACTCTTGCATGAAAATTTCATAAATGATTTGGAGAAGGCCGCCTTTTCAAGTAATGTGCAACGTGTTGTGGCACTTGTGAATGAGTACTTGCAGCGTATTTCGGCGGAGAAGAGCAGAACGAGTGGAGAAAAATACCGGGCAGGTGAACGCGATATTTGGCATCGCTACTCCGACCCCTCCGCGGCTGATTTTCGAAAGCCGCTTGTCGAGGCAGGCGGTGTCACGGCAGAACTGTACCATTACTTGATTGTGGCACTTTCAACACGGCAGCCGACGCTGGCATTGCGCACGCTCCGTCGCATGGAAGAGCAGAATCTTGGTGTGCTTGATTTGACACGGGCGGTTATGATCGTGCGCTGTCAAGGTTCCCCCGCTGACCAACAGGCGCTTCTACAGGAACAGCTACAAGAAATAGCGTTGAGGCAGAAAATTGGTCAGGATTATGATGTCACGAGAGAGGTTGAGCTCTTCTGGAAGTTCTCTTATACCGACTTTCTTCATTACCGTAACGCGTTGGGTAGGACGGACTTGTATCGCATTCTCATGGAGGGGTTGGGCCCCGTTAGGGTTCAGGAACTGTTGACAGAAGCGCAGGTTCACGACTCATGCACACCTGACGATGTGGTTGTACTCGATACTTCCTTTCGTGCCGCTGCCGCGGCGTATTTTAGGGGTCTTTGTGGTCAGTTGAATGTGAATAGGGCGCTGGATGCGATCACGGCGAAGATGCCTAAACTCGATATCAGTTTACTGGGTTCTATGCCTCACTTTAGCGATTACGCGCTGCCAAAGGAGGATTTTGTCGCCACCGACGTCTTTGCGTTGCGAGGCAAGTTAGTGGGGTTTAAACGCATCTACGTTTTAGATTCCTCCTTTGTGGAGACAAGCGAACAATTTCTCACTGTGGGGCAAACCTCTGACGTGGAGGATGCCGGGTCCTCTCTCGTGCTCGTCCCGTATTGTTGTTTGCAGCAGCTGGCTTTAACAATTGAACAGGGGGAGTACAGTGTGACGTTTGACGAGGCCCTGCAAGCGGCCAACACGACTGAACCCTTTATTGCCTCCAATCGACTGCGAAGTCTGTTTGCCCTCCTACGGGACACGCACAAAACCAGACGCACTAGAGTCCTTCACTTCAGTGAATGTCTTATGGCGCATTCAGTGGCAGCGTCACAGATCAAGGCTCTAGGTCTTGATCCTGCTGGCTCAGATAACGATCACTTGTTTTTGATTCTTGCCATGATACGGGCGATAGCGCCTGTGGAGGCTGAGGTGGTGCTTTGTACGGATGATGCCTCGCTTGTGAAGCTTTTCCATGGGGACAAACTTACCTCTTTTTTCGCCGGAAAGATTTGTATTCTTTCATCGCAGCCACCGCAGGAAGTGTTAAACAATGAGGACGACCTCATTGACGACAATCCTGACCTCTGTATATCGATGGACTTTGAGCCTAAACTACAGTCGTCCGCGCCTGTAGGGGAAAATCACTGTGTTTCAGGGATAAATAGCTTGTTGCCTTTACAAACGCAGGTCTCCGAAGTGGACGCAGACGCCTTCGGTGCGGCGTGGCTCGATATGCTGGACGGGGAGGAGCAAAGCGGGAAGGCCTTGGATGCGGTAAATGATACTCCGCACCCTCAGGATGCGCTTTCAACGGGGGCAGTTGCGAGGCAAACGGGAAATGCCTGTGGAAGGGATGGGCCGGATAACGACGACGATTTGGGGGCTCGAGAACATGAAAAGCTTATGAACATGTACGAATCGGAGCATGCCGTTGTACCGGTGGGCGCGTTAATGGCGCAGGCGTCATCCTTGGGTTCTATGTTTGAGCAGTTTGACGTTCTCGGGCCCGATGCTGAAATGGACCGCGCCATGGCGTCACCGGCGCCGCGGCAAACCTCCGGGAAGCCGAACGAAAGGCCTCGCAGACGAGCTCTATTGGAAACGGAGGCAATAAGAAATCGTGGCGCATCTAATAAACAGCGTTTTCGCCTTGCAAAGCGTCTAAGTAACATGTCGGGGGGACGCGTTCCGTTTAACTTCCGCTACAGGGTACTCGAGGTAAACATAAGTGACCCGAAGAACAAATCTTACAGGGATGCCTACAAGGAAGGCGTGGCGAAGAAGCGAGAGAGTTTCAAAAGAAACTTCAACAATCACTTTCTTGTTGGCGGTGGCTCACCGTAGTGTGTGGGTGTAAGAGAACAAACGGAAAATCTTTTTTCTTCTGTTTGTATTATTCGCTTTGCTCTTTCTAGTTGCACTGCAATTCTGCGGACAAGGGTGTTTCGATATACATGATTCTTTTGTTTGGCTTCGTCACGCTTTTGTGTCATCCCGTCCTCATGCTGACCTTATCCACATATATATATGTCTTGCACCACACGTAATGCACCTATTGTTTTCAACTCTTTCATATTTGTCTTTTGCTTTCTGTTATATCGCTTTCTCTCTTGGCTCACCGCAACCCTGTTCCATTTACTGAGCGAAGGACGTGCTATTCTCATTCCGCTTCCTACTGCCCTTGTTTCGCGTCCCTGTGAAGGATGGAGGCGGATAATGGCT